CTCCATGTGTGCATAGACTTATTCCTGTGCTTTGGTTTGTTCCAGTGGCCTCAGTTATCCAATTCTTATAACCAAACCATAGCATTTCAGAGCCACAGCCTTATAATAAGTCTTGATCCTCAGAGAGGAAGTCAGAACACGCATAATTCCTGAGCACCAATGCTTGCCCATGCTGTCCCTCTGTGGGAACATCTTTGGGCAAGCATCAAAACACCTCTATTGCTAGAGTCTCTTTCTTTTTTGACAGAGTCATCACAAATGGAAGCACATAGCATGTAGCCCTTTGAAATGTATTTCCTTCACTTGGCACCATGCTTCCGATAGTCATCCAAGTGGTTGTGTGAATCCAATCATTGCTCTTTTTATTACAAGCACAACACTCTGTTGGATGGTGGTACTAGTTCTGTTTATGCATTTACCATTTGGATTGTCTCCAGAGTTTTATTTGCTATTACAGAGAACAGCTATGAACAGTAGTGTATGTGTTTTTTTTTTGGGGGGGGGGGTTGAACATATCTTTTCATTTTATTGGGGTGCATGGGCTGGATAGTAAGTGGATGTTTAATTTTGTGTGTTGTGTAGTACACCACATTGAATTTCATCAGCAAAGTTGGGAGGGTTGCAGAGGCCAAGCCCTTGATTTTGGTATTCTGAACCTGACTAATAGTTTTAAAATGGTATTGATTGGTAGTTTGGGTTGGCATTTCCATTGATGTTGAAGCTCTTAGGATAAGCACAATTTCCAAAGTATGTTCTCTTTGGTGAAGTGAACGTTCAAGTCTTTTGCCTGTTTCTTAGTTGGGGGACTTACTGTCTTATTATTGAGAATTTAAAATTTCAGTGTGTGCATGTGTGCTGTGTGTGTTTCAGAGGAATTGATTTTCTCTCTTTCTGCTATGTGGGGTTCAGGATTTGAACCCCAGGTTGTTGGTCTTGACTATGAGTGTCTTTACCCACTGAGTTATTGCACCAACCCTCACTGTTGAGTTTTAGGAGTATTTTCTGTACATAGAATATGAGTATTTTTATAGGACATATGATTTGAAAATGTGCTGTCTTATTCCATAACTTCTCATCTTGTTAAGTATTTTTTCATAGAGCAATTTCTAAAATCTGATGAAGTAGAAATTATAGGGCTTTTCTTTAGAGATTAAGCCTTTAGTGTGAAATTTATACATCTTACCTAAACGAAGATTATTAAGACTTTCACCTATGTTTTAATCTAAAAGTTTTATAGTGTTGTGTTTACATTTAAGAAAACATTAAGCAATACATTTTAACGTAATTTCTAAGTTAGACATTTCCATTAAGCATCTGTGCCTGTGTGTTTCCTATTGCTTTGGGTGGTCTTGGCCTTGCCTGTGGATGACCCATTGCTCGTGTTGAAAAGACAACTCTTTCACCAATGACTATCCTTTGTGTCTTTGTCAAAAAGCTCGATCAGACTTAATACTCATAAATAAGAGCTAAGCTAATTATGACAGTACTTGGGAGTCAATGATGGAGTATGGGTGGTAAGATGGGGGTACAGATAGGAGGCACTGAAAGAGGAAATATATATGCAGTTATCCACACTTAAAATATTTATGAAGTATGAATGGGAAGTATACTTTTTTTTTGGTTTTTTGAGACAGGATTTCTCTCTGTAGACCTGGCTGTCCTGGAACTTGCCCCGTAGCCCAGGCTGCCCTGGAACTCCCAGAGATCTGCCCGCCTCTCCTTCACAGATGCTGGAATGTTGTGGGAGAACTGTTCATATAATCAATCCACTGTGTTGATGATAAAGCCACCTTAAATCAAAGGATAGAGTCAGCAATTGCCTGACTGGGATTAGCCGCAGAGTTCTTGTAGGATTTAGGAGGTTTGCTAGAGGGACAGGAAGAGAGGAGGGAGGATTTCTGGGGCTGGTGGATCTCAAAAACCGTGGAAAGAGGGTCAATCGACTCTCAGCTTTCCTTGGATTTATCAGGTTTTTATCCCAGTTTCTGACTCCCGAGTTTTTATTATACTGGAACAATTTATAAAATCTTTACACCGGGATTAAAGACCTGTGCCACTGCTGTCCAGCGGGGAAGGGTACTTTGAACAGCATAACTTTTGGTGCCTTCGGATCCACATCCGTGTATTGTCTCCTGTGGAATATGGGTGGGTTTGACATGTTCAGCAGCCCTGTTTCTCTGACAGCTAGGGGAGCTTGTTCACGGTGCTTCTTCCCCCTTCATAATCTTCCTTTCTTGACTCTCAGTGCAGAGAGCTAGTGGGCCACCCCCCCACCCAAGACAGGTGGTGTGTGTTTGAGTAGCTGTTTTTTTGTTAGAAAAGTAGATGGGCAGTTTCCGTAAACTGAAGAGAGATCTCTTTGCTGTAAGATGTGGCACCAGTGACCATGGTGAAGCTTCAGAAAGTCACCTGAGAGCCTCAGAGATGGCAATGGTATTGAGTCATCAGAGATTGGTTTGATAAGTGGTGACTCCCAAAGACCTTACCTTCCAAGAACAGACCAAGCCCACCAATAACAAATAGCAACAGCCAGTGCATGACGATGAAATTAGATGTTCTGTGTGTGTGTGTGTGTGTCTGTGTCTCTGTGTGTGTCTGTGTGTGTTCCCACATGTGCACAAGCACACATGCACTCTGTACACATGCATATGGAGGTCAGAGGTCAAGCTCAAGTGTTGTTCTGTTAAGAACTGTCCAGATCTCTCACTGGCTCTGAACTCACCGAGTAAGCTAGGCTGCCTAGCCAGTGAGCCCCAGGATCCTCCTGTCTCTGTTTCCCCAGTGTGGTGATATTGTGTTCCCCAAAATATTGTGCACCCTAATAAACTTATCTGGGGTCAGAGAACAGAACAGCCACTAGATATAGAGGCCAGAAAATGGTGGCACACACACCTTTAATTCTAGCATTCCAAAGGCAGAGATCTGTCTGGATCTCTGTGAGTTCAAAGCCACACTGGAAACAGCCAGGCATGGTGACTCACATCTTTAATCCCAGGAAGTGATGGCAGAAAGCAGAAAGGTATATAAGGCATGAGGACCAGGAACTAGAGCCTGGTTAAGCTTTTAGGCTTTTGAGTAGCAGTTCAGCTGAGATCCATTTGGATGAGAACTCAGAGGCTTCCAGTCTGAGGAAACAGGATCAGCTGAGGAATTGGCGAGGTGAGGAAGCTGTGCTTGTTCTGCTTCTCTGATCTTCCAGCATTCACCCCAATACCTGGCTCCAGGTTTGTTTTTATTGATAAGAACTTTTAAGATTCATGCTACACCCCAGTGTTAGGATTACAAGTGTTTCCAGGATTGAACTCAGGGGCCAATGCTTACAAGGCAAGCACTATATCCACTGAGCCATTGCCTCAGGGCAGCGGTCAACTCTTATCCCTCACTGTTGTGGAGTCCAAAGCAGAGAGAAGGCCCCCTTTGGGCAATGGTAAACCAAAGAGCTCTATCCTTTGCACAGCATAGTAAGCTACAGTATTTCCTCTCCTCTCTTCCGAGTTTCCTACTGTACTGACAAATGCTGCTGACTAGCCAGTTAGTTCAGTAGAATGAAAAACACTCTTGTCTTCCAAAATAATGGCTTGGCTTCATCTACAGAGGGTTGAAATTTCCTAATAAAAGGAAATGCCACAAACACATTTTGAATAAGCTGTGTGTGAGCCCTCTCATAGATTTCTATGTCAGAACCTAGAGAAAGCCCATTATTCCTCCAAATGAGTTTTCTGGTCACTTAAACAAGTAGAGCATTCCATTCCTCTCATTATCTGTCACAATGAGTACTTTTAAATCAGTGTATGACAAATTTAATATTTAAAGCATTGATGTTGTCTTACACATTCACTATCAAACTTTGAAACAAGTAGACTTTTAGAAGATTACATTTATACTGTTTCAAATATTTTTTAACATTCATTTTATTTTCTCCCAAACTAATTCCTGAAAAAAATAACTGAAGCATGCTAAGAGGTTCTCTCTTCAGAATAATTTCTTGAGTCTAATGAGAGATACACAGCACTAAGAATGCTAAGCCCCAGCACTGAAATCTTCCAGTGTTTACCCAACAAATATTAACTTTTCTCTCAAGTTCAAGTTTCAAGTTTCGTAGACACAAGAATTCCCATAGTGGTTGATGCTGTTTTAAAGTATGGGGAAAATCAAGACGGGGAGATCAGAATCCTCTTCAAGTTCATCTTAGTTTTCTATTGTTGTGGTAAAACACTGACCAAAAGCATACAGGGAAATGGTTTATTTCATCTTACAGTTTATAGTCCACTGTGAAGGAAGGGCAGGGCAGGAACTGGAGCAGAGCCCATGGAAGAATGCTGCTTACTGCTTGCTCCCTACAGTTAGCTCAGTCTGTTTTCTTATACAACCCAGGACCACCTTCCCAGGGTTAACATGACCCATAGGGGTCTGGGTCCTCTCACACCAATCATTAATCAAGAAAAGGACCTACAGATTTCCCTATAGTCTGTTCTAGTGGAAGAATTTTGTCAGTTGAGGGTTCCTCTTCCCAGATGACCCTAGCTTGTGTTAAGTTGTCAACACACACACACACACACACACACACACACACACACACACACACACACACACACACAATCACCCAGCACAATGTCTATAGTGAACGATGTTTTCTAAGATGAAATTCAAGTGTCATCTCTCAGGGCTGGGGAGATATAGCTCATGGATAAATACACCTGCCAAGGTGTTATCTGTCAAGATAGATATGTTCCATGATTATATAAACATCAGGACAGATTTTTAGAATAATGTAAGTTTTAAAAAAAAATGAAGAGGTTACCTGGCAAAAGCACTTTGATAACATGGCAAAAGAGTTAGGATGAAGCTGGGTGGCGGTGGCGCACACCTTTAATCCCAGCACTCGGGAGGCAGAGCCAGGCGGATCTCTGAGTTTGAGGCCAGCCTGGTCTACAGAGCGAGATCCAGGACAGGCACAAAACTACACAGAGAAACCCTGTCTTGAAAAACAAAACAAAAAGTTAGGATGAAGAATAAATCAAAATTTATTAAATGAAAGGCATTCAAAGAAGAAGTGATGCATCTTGAACAGGTCCAGACGAACTGCCATCTGACTTGTGTTCTGAACCTCTCGCCATGGGAACCATCCCAGGAGAAACCTTTGTGCATCTCTAGTCTACCTTGGTAGCTTCAGTCCCCTTACTGTCTCCCCTTCACTTTATGGCTTTGCTGTATATACTTTACACATGGTCTGTGAGCACAGTGGGGGCTCAGGAAGTCAGATTCCACTTGTAACACCTACCTACGAACATCCTAGCATCTGGGTAGATGAGTGAATGAACCCCAGAAGCCTTATATGAAGAAAAGAAAGTCAAGATGATTTGAGTTTTGGCTTTAATTACTTGACTGTTTCCAAACTATATCTCAGAGAAGCAAAGCAACACAGAAATGACTGCTAATTCACCTCTGAACTTGAACAGCAGGGCTTCCTGGGGAATGGCTGACTGGGAAAGAGTAGGACATCACCATAGAGATGACGTTGTTCACTTCAGGATGTGCTCCCAACATGACCGTTTCTGTGGCCTCTTACTCTCAGTGGCTGCACTCAGGTGATCTCTTCCAGAAATAATTAGAAAACCGGGCCGGTTGTCACTTAATTACACGATTGATCAAAATCAAACGCTGGGTGTTTAGGTCTCTGTTGTATGAATTGGACCGATCTGTGCCAAGAACTTGTAAGGTAGTAGTGAGACTCCAGAGCTGGGGAGACTGCTCAGGGGTTAAGAGCACTTACTGCTCTTGCAGAGGATCCAGGTTTGGGTCCCAGTACCCACATGGTGGTGCAGTTTGTAACTCTAGTTCCAATCAATCTGACACCCTCTTCTGGCCTCTGGGGTCACCTACATGTGCATATATGCATGCGTGCACACACATACATATGCATATATAACATAAATAATAATTAGATTAAAAATATGAAAAAAAACTTAGGAACTCATTAAAAGGCCATCCTTGCACTACTACCAGCAGTTTATTTAAAGAACTCATGACTAGCCACTGGTAGGGTTGGCACTAGAATTAACCTCTCCTTTTGCCTGTCATATACTACCAGTTGTTGCAACTACCTACTACCCAGTTGTCATCTTTCCTATTCTTGGAAGGTTTGTACCAACTTTCTGTCACTCTAGATTGGCTTCAATGCCTCTGTGATGGTTAGTGTCAGCTTTCAGATGGACAGGACCCAGGATTGGATATCTTGATACATTAGTTGATGATATAGGACAACTCCTCTTGATTGTAGGTTGGACCATTCCCTGGACCAGGAGTCCTGAACTGAATGAAAGAGAGAGAGAGAGAGAGAGAGAGAGAGAGAGAGAGAGAGAGAGAGAGAGAGATGAGAACTAGCAAGCATGTATCCACTTCTCTGTATCCCAGTTATATACACGGTGTGGCCAGCTTTCTCCAGCTCCTGATGCCTTGAGTTCCCCACTTGAACTTGAGCTGTGGGCTTACAAGACCACTTTCTCCACTAAGTTGTTTTTGTCAGAGTACTTTGTCACAGCTATGGGACACTAAGCTGAGACAGTCCTTTTTCTACCTTTGCTCTGCAAAACCGTGATGTGTGGTGTGCAGGACATTTATCCACTTTGTCATCACTGTCTTCGCTTGTCTCCTTCATCACGTTGGAAGAAACGACGCTGCATGCCTTCATTTCCATATCCCCAGCATCTACATGGTAGAGTATATCTGGAGCTCAGCGATGGATTTCTTTTTTCTTTTCTTTTTTTAAATTTATTTAATATTTTTATTTTATAATTAACTTAATTTCACCTATCAGCCACGGATTCCCCCATCCTCCCTCCTCCCATCCCCCAGCCCTCCCCGCCCCCAATCCATCCCCCATTCCCACCTCCTTCAAGGCTAGGTCTCCTCTGGGGAGTCAGTCCAGCCTGGAAGACTCAGCCGAGGCAGGTCCAGTCCCCACCTCCCTACACCAAGGCTGAGCAAAGTGTCCCAGCATAGGCCCCAGGCTCCAAAAAGCCATCCCATGCATCAAGGACAGATCCCGGCTCCACTGCCTGGGGGCCTCCCAAACAGTTCAAGCTAGTCAACTGTCTCACTTATCCAGAGGGCCTGGTCCAATTCCATGGGGGCTCCTCAGCCCTTGGTAAACAGTTCATGCGTTTCCACTAGTTCGGCTATTTGTCCCTGTGCTTTTTCCAATCATGGTCTCAATATCTCTCGCTCATGCAGTCCCTCCTCTCTCGCGCCGATTGGGCTCCCGGAGCTCCACCTGGGGCTTGGCCGTGCATCTCTGCAGATGGATTTCTTTATAAAAGCCGGCCAGTAGAACTGAAGTTTCTCTGCTCGTGACATTCTTCGTCACTTTACATCCTGTATGTGAGTTATGTCAACACTCATTTGCTTTCATTACTGCACTGAACATCTGGGTCCCATTTACTTACTCTTTTTGTCTGTACAGCAGCCGCCTGCCTTTTCCACTGGCCAATCACCCGACTCTGTGTGTGTTGGGTGGGACAGAAGCCATTGCTAGCCCTGGCAGTGGCCAGGAGACCGGATCATTATGTGTGGTGCCCCTTTTGCCAGAGGATGCTGTCTGTACAGAGTGCAGAACTTGTCAAGTGACAGGATGAACTCTGGGCCTGCTTTGGGGATTTTTCTGTGGGATATTCTCTTGACCTGAAACTGGAACAGGATGTTAGTTTGAACCTTCACAGGGCCAGCAATGAAGCCAGCACCAAGCAGTATAGAGAAACGTTCAGTGAGTTTCTTAATCCTTTGAAGCTAGTCATGCCTTTTGTCTGCAAGGTGAGAGTGCTTTTGACTACACACAATAAAACATTTCATCAAAAGTGAACATTGAAGTTGGGAGGATGGCTCAGTGGTTAAAGCATGAAGTGATAAGAGCATGAATATCAGAGTCTGTGTAAGTGCTTTGTGGGCGTGCATGCCTGTAATGCAAAGCAGAATCAGGGAATCCTTAGAGCAAGCTTGCAAGACTAGCCATATTGGTGTGCTCTGGGTTTGACTGGGAGACCTTGTCTCAAAAAGAGTAAGAGAAAAGGCAATTCAGGAATATTCTTGAAACACACACACATATACACACATGTACACACACATTCATATACATACATGTGCATTTACACACACACACACACACACACGGAAAAGAAAGAACATTTCTTTTCCTCATGGAGCAAGGAGCAGTCATAGATTTTTCTAGCATCGATTCAGAAGAATAAATCAGTTCTTGGCCCACACTTCTTATGCAATCTCTATAGCATCATATCCTCATGCAGTTATACCCAATAAAACTAGATCCTCCTAAAGGCCTTTCTCCTTTAATCAAGGAGGAAAATCTATACAAGGGTCCTAAGCAGATGTCTCCTATGTTTCATTAATTGGCACTGGCTTGTGTGCCTATATGATAGCTGCAAGGGAAGCATGGTAGGGCGGGTGTGTCATATTCCCATCTCCACAGTGAAAGCCAAGCTCTTCATCAAGGGGAAAAGTGTTAGTAGAGGAAGGAAGACCATTAACAGGGATCCAATGGCTGGATCACTGGAGTCTTATTTAATCATTAGTTAATGTTCTTGGAGTTAAGTTTCTGGCCTTTGCAGGCAATCACATGTCAAACAATATTTTTAAATTTATGTTTTTATTATAAAGTTAAAAATATTTCAAAAGCAATCTCTTACAAATTAGGACACTATCACCAAATAAATACATAGTTATACAAGTTCATTTTCATAATAAAGGGTGATTTTATTACGTTCATATAGGTGGGCCAATACATTAATGTAGGCTGAGTGAAGCCATTAACATATGCAGTGAGCGAATAATTGAGTTGTTAATTCACAGCCGGGGCTTTGATGTTAATTTCAAAATAAAATTACTTCATATTTCATATGGTTCTTCACCTTATCCTGTTTTCCATCTTTGAGTTTAAAATATTTTAAGAGTAACATACTCTTTTGCCCACTACACATTCTCTAAGTGTGTGCCATTCTATTGGCCACTTTTTCTCTTCTCAAAGATAATTTTAAGGGCCAGAGAGATAGCTGAGTGGGTGTTTACCGCCAAGCCTGATGACCTGAGTTTGACCCCCAGAGCCAACAAGGAAAAATAAGAGAACTGACTCCCATGGGCTGTCCTCTGATTTCCACATGGACACCATGGCATGGGCACAAAAACACACACACATGCATACACACACATACACACACACAGGCACACATACACACACATATGCACACCACACATGTGCATATACACCACACACACACATGCCTACACACCACATACACACATATGCACACCACACATGTACATATACACCACACACACACACATGCATACACACCACATACACATACACATGCACACACATACATGCATATACATACTACACACATACATACACACACACATGCACACACATACACCACACACACACATGCACATATACACCACACACACATATAAGCACAGACATGTGCATACACACTACACACATGGATGCACACATACACATGTACACACATGCATATACATACCACACACACACACCCCACACACTAGATAAAATACATGAAAAACCTAGATGGTTTTACAAAGCAAGCATGGAACTGAAAGCTGTGCTCTGAAGACCAGAATACTAGGACTTAAACATGTTCTCTAAAAAAATAATAAACCAGCCTGAGCCGAGAAAAAATGAATTCCTTTAGTGTATTTTAAGTGACTAACTTTTAATGACTTGAACCATTATAAATTAGATAAACCTTTCCATTTTTCCCTAAATAATGCGGTTTTATTTTTTCAAAGACAGGACAGATGGCTGCTATTTTCAAACGTAATTATAGCTGTACATGTGAGAGGCACATTTACTGCCTTTCACACCATTTTTTTTGAAAAAAAATGTAGATAATTTTATAAGTACCTCATTTTCTCAATTTTCCTAACAGTTTTACCAGGGGGAGTTTACTGGGCTAGTTGAACTAATCTGGAATGAGAAGTTAAGAAAACGAGACTTACCCTAATATATATAATAAGCATACCCTAATCTTAATCTCATTGAGAATGCCAACTTTTCTGACTATTTTAGTTTAGTCAAAACATAATTTGGTTGTGGAGCTAAGGTTAATTCTATTTGCACTTTGGGACCTTCCTTATTCATCCACAGTTTTTCCACCTATGATATATTTCAGCCTCTATGCTGAAATATAATTAAAAATTAGGGGCTGAAGAGATGGCTTGGCAGTTAAGAACACACACTGCTCTTGCAAAGGACCTGAGTTCAGTTCTCAGTACCCACGGTTAATAACTCACAACCACCCTTGACTCTGGTCCCAAGGTATCCCAAGCCTTCTTCTGAATTCTGAGAGGACCTGCAAATGCTTGCACATACCTATCCCAAACACCACACACACACACACACACAATTAAAAACAAAAGTGAAATGTTTTGTGAAATGATTGCAACTGATGTTAGTCAATTAGTACCTAAAATCTAAAGAATGGTAAAATATGTAGACAAACTGAAAAAAAGTGGGGGTGGGGAGGTGGGAGTGATCAAAAGCTGAGGTTGACCATGCCTCAAGAGTTTCTCGGGTCCACTGACTCTTCAGTAAGGATGGTTCTTAGTGGAACTTTGACTAATGGTTCTTTGTGCAAGGCGTTAAGGCTGACACTTTGGGCTGGGGAATTTCCTTAGGGCCCAAGTCTTAGGGAGTTGTCTTGAGCACTGTGGGACCTGCAGCAGCTAATTTGGTTTCCTCTCTACATGTCAGTAACACCTCTCCCGTCTGTGACCACCCAAAATGCCTCTAGACACTTTCCTGAGGGACAAAAATTACTCCAATAGAAGACTATTACTTTTAATTCTAATACCAATCTTTAAGAAATTCAGAGTATAGGTAGTTTGGAGACTTAGTTAGGATTTCTATTGCTTAGATGAAACACCATGACCAAAAAGCAAGTAGGGGAGTGTGGTGAAATAACTGTTTAACTATGCAAAGATGTATCGCATTTGTTTAACTATGTAAAGGTTGTGTTGCTGTTTTTATCTTTCCTGCCTAAGACACCTGATTGGTCTAACAAAAAGATGAACAGCCAATAGTGAGGGAGAAGGTATAGGTGGGACTTCTGGGCAGGGAGAGTAAATAGGTGGAAGAATTTGGGCTCAGAGGAAGAAAGAAAAAGAGACACCAGGGAGATACCAGGGACACGATGTAGCAGGAATCTTAAAAGTTCTTATTAATAAAATCAAACCTGAGCCAGGTATTGGGATGAACTGGAAGATCAGAGAACCAGAACAAGCCACAGCTAACCTCACCTGGCCAACTTCTCAGCTGATCTTGTTTCCTCAGACTGGAAGCCTCTGTGTCCTCATATCCGAATGGCTCTCAGCTGAACTGTGCTGCTCGAAACATAAAAGCTTAATCAGCCAAATGCTGAACCAGACCAAATGCTTCTAGTTTCTGGTCCTCACACCTTATATACCTTTCTGCTTTCTACCACCACTGCCCTGGGATTAAAGGCATGAGTCACCATGCTTGGCTGTATCCTTGAACACATGGATTTCTGCCTCTGGAATGCTAGGATTAAAGGCGTGTGCTACCACTGCCTATCCTAAGTATCTAGTGGCTTTTCTGTTCTCTGACCCCAGATAAGTTTATTAGGGTACACAATATTTTGGGGAACACAATACCACCACATTACACCAGGGACCAGACAGACAGACATGGAGGAAGCAGGGAAAGTGGGACATCCAGAATGAAAGAAAGGTAACAAGTCCCTAGGCAAAATTTAGATTAATAGAAACAGATTAAATTAAAAGACCTAGTGGGACAAGCCTAAGCAAAACCAAGCATCCACAATTAATCAGAACTCTCTGTGTCATTATTTGGGAGTTGGTTGGTGACCCAAAGAAAATACCAACTACAAGGAAGGAAAGGGTTTATTTGGCTTACATTTCCGATCACAGTCTATCATTGGAGGAAGTCAGAACCAGAACTCAAGCAGGGCTGAAATCTGGAGGCAAGAGCAGATGCAGAGGCCATGGAGAGGAGCTGCTTACTGGCTTGCTCAATCTGCTTTCTTATAGAACCCAGGACCACCAGGCCAGGGATGGAACCACCCACAGTGGCTGGGCGCCTACCCCATCAATCACTAATTAAGAGAATGCCTTACAGCTGGATCTCATGGAGGCATTTCTTCAACTGAGAGGCTCCTTCCTCTCTGATGACTTTAGTTTGTGTCAAGTTGACACATAAAACCAGCCAGTACAGAGACACAATCAAAAAAAAGTCTCGAACCTGAGCTGTACTACAGACCAGATAACCTGTTTTGTTTTTATTTTTGGTTTTTTTCCTAAAAAGCCATTGGCTCACTGAACTATGTGAGCTGTGTTTTGAACTTGACTCCCATGAGGTATAAAATGATGGGATGTGAGAATTCTGCCCTCACTTACCAGGTAGCTGACAGTAGGACATTATTGGAATTATGGGATTGAGGTCATGGCTTCTAAAAAAGTTTGTCTATCAGAGAGCCCACTGAAGGACTTCGGAAGAAAGGATATGTTGTCTGGGATAGACTGTGAGGGCTGGAGGAGGGGATGAAAGAAGATTGGCTATGGGTGGCTAGTGTTGAAGTCACATGACAGGTGTGAGACTTCATCAAATTATTCTCTTTAGATCATCGTAGTTGTCACAATAACACATTAAAAATACTTAAGCATGTCTTTCTAGTAGTTTTAGGCTTTGCCTCCTTTTTTAACAGCTTAACTTTTAAAGAAAGAGTGATTTAAGTTATTAATTACTAAGTTAAGTATACAGAGACAACCACAATGCTTTCATTTTCATATCAATTGAATAGATATATTGATCAACTTACAACACTATTACTAAGCCCCTTATCTTCTATTAAGGGAACAGAGCAAAAAACTATTCCATCAACTCTGGGGTCCACAAATATTTCAGTTACATTTCACATTTTAAATATTTTTCAAGTGATTTTGAAATTGTCATTTAAAAACCCAACTTGGAGTCAGACATGGTTGCCTATCACTGCAATTCCAGTTCTCAGGAGACAGAAACAGAAGGATTGTAAATTCAAACAAACCAACCCAGGCTGGAGGACTATCTGCCTATTGCCATATTTGTAGGTTAACTTAAAAGTCCCAAGATTAAGGAGTCAAGTTACCTCTGCAATCACTGAGGAATGAATTAAAGAAAAGAACATTTTGGCATCACAAGGCATTTAGTTAAAAAAAAAACCTACTAATTTCCTTTCCTAATTTGAAAAAGTCTGAATTTTGTTAACAATTTCTAGTGTTTCAGAAATGTGCATGTCTCAAAAATCTTATGACTGCCTTTACAACCATAATATAAAATATTAATTTAGTAGCCATTATTTTTAATCAATGTAATCTCTGAAGTCTAAATGTTGATGGGCCACCTTCCCAGCTCATGTCTAATAGTCAATGTGATGATTGGATTAAGGTGAGGCTTTGGGGGAAGTGATTGATGATGGCTCCACCCTTGTGGATAGAATTAACATCCTTATAAAATAAAGAAAAGGAGCTGCTTTGTTTTCATCATCTGAGAACAGAGAGAAAGCACAGCCAATAAAAAACAGATCCTCAGTAGACACCAGATCTGCTTACAACTTGGACATGGGCCTGCAGGACTCCAGCTCCAAAAAATAATTCTGTATGACTTCTAAATTCCTTAAGGTTTTATTATAGTAGACATACAGACTAATACTGGAATTGGTATTAGTAGTGGATGTTTCTATACTACCTTAAAAAATGTGAAAACCACTTTGGAATTGGGTAGAGGCAAAATGGATTTGCCTGTGTAGGTTGGAAAAGGTTTCTGTACTGACATGAATGGACCCTGATGACTTAGCAGGAGAGGGAAGTTACAGAGGACATGTCCCCAGTTCTTAGAGATTACCCCAGTCACTGTGATCAGAATGTGGCTGGAAATACAGATGATAGTTGCCATTCTGGTGAGTTCTCAGAAATGAAAAAAAAGGCTGCGCTTGTTAAAGTGGCAATGACCTTGACTGAATTTTGTATGCTAGTCTTCTAGGGAAGCCAGAGCTTGCTGATGATGAGACAGGCTAGTTGACAATCGAAATCTGTTCCATTTTACCCCATTCTATTCCATTTGAAAATCCGACACAGTTGGCTACAGAATGAGATAGATCTGCTTGCAGCTCCAGTCAGGATATTTGAGGTGCAGCTGGGTGATTTGAGCAAGTTTCCTTCTACGTATGTACCTGCTTTGTATTATAAGGATTACATAAAATAAAACATACTAAACACTAGACGCCATGATTGCAAAACAAAATACCCAAGGCAGCATTAGGGGCATCTGCTGTTGTCCTCTGTACCGAGTGTCTACTTCTTCCTTCATATCATAACAGCTATGAAAAAGAATAATATTTTGGAAAAGATATTATTACAAATGGAAAATTATTTTTCTTCAATTTTCTACTATGTGCATATGTGTGTACTTGAGTGTATGTCTGTGTGTCACATGTATGTGGTATCCAGTGGAAGCCAGAAGATGTTGGATTCCTTGGAACTGGCATTACAAGTGGTTGTGAGCTGCTATGTGGATGCTGGGAACTGAACCCAGGTCCTCTAAAAGAACAGCCAGTGCTCTTAAACCATTGAGCAATCTCTCCAGCCCCCCTAAGGTTTCAATTTTATTATTTTTGTTTTGTTTTGTTTTGTTTTGTTTTGTTTTGTTTTGTTTTGTTTTGTTTTGAGACGAGGTCTTATGTAGTCCAGGCTGGCTTCAACTTCACTATGTACCTAAGGATAACCTTACTTACAGGACCTCCAGTCTCCACCTCCCAAGGGCTGGGATTACAGACCTGCAGGACCACACTGGCACTGAATTCCAGTTTTCAATGGAGTGAATGCTGAAGGGGGGAAGGAGACACTCAAGGAGAGAATCTGCTTCCAGCTCATTTGTACTGTGGCCAAGAGAAATAATCAATGTGTGAGTATGTAAGCAACCATGCTGAAACCACTGGGGAAAAAATATGACTTTTCAATAACAGAAGCGAAAGAAGAATAGACCCCTCCCCCCAATCAAATTAAATGATAATCTGTACATTAAGAAAGTAACTGCACGGTGGAATTTTCCAAAACAGATTGTGTCCCCAGGACAATGACCCTGCTTATCTTTGTTCTGTAGTTATTTTTGCTTCTTTTCCTCCCCCATTTTAACATTCACTTATAACTTAGCAATTGCTAAGTGAAGTGGTAAATTACCGGGATGCGTAACTTCCACAGCAACCACAGGAAAGGCTTAACCCTTCGTCCCAGGCCCAGCATCCCTTCAATAGGCTGACGGTTCAAAGGTCTAACTCTTGCTCAAATGTATCCCACTGCTGTAGTGCACTGGATAACAAGACTCTCTTGGATCCCGTGCTGAGGAAAAAACATCAAAGAATTAGATTCTTAACCTCCCAGAATCTAGCTTAAATTAACGGGAGCTTTGTGTGCCAAATATTGAGTCAAAACAAACAAAAAAAGAGGGCCAAAATGATTAAGAAATTAAAGATTAATGCCCTCCATTTTATGCTTTTAGTTAAACATTTTGAAAATTAGTTTCCTCTAACCAGTAGCGCAATAATGAGGGGATGTTTGTACTATAAAGTCAAATATGATTAATTTTAGAATAAGTCCATTTTAAAATGTCTTAGAACTAATAAAAATTACCCCCAGAAACTATCCAGTTAGTGTGCAGTAATTAAAGAGAAAATGAGTATGTAAAATCTACGGGATAAAAACATGATTTATAACATCCAGAAGGATTAAGAACTTGCAAGAGAATCACTAATTTCTTTAAAGAGTTTCAGTTTATTAGAAAATGGAAGTGTGAAACGACTTGGATTCATTTCATATTGACCCATGTCAGGGGAAAAAAAGCAAACTGGTTATTAGGAAGTCAAATGAGAGAGAGCCAAGAGGAAGAGTCCATCTTAATTGATCATTAATTAATGTCTACTGGTTTTTCTTGCAAGATATTTGTAATAAATTAGTAATATTGAAATGGCTTCAATAATTTTGCCAAGTGTTTGACATAAGTTATCTTGATGATACATGAAAGACATCTTGTTACCATTCTGGAATGAATAACTTCATTCTCACAAGCATAAATATCATGACCATAACAGCAGATTCAGACATGCTACCTCATTTTTTAAACAAATTGCTCTGGTATCAGACATTGTTCCTAGTGCAATGTAACCTTTTGATATTAATCTTGTTAGCTTGAAGTCTGCAGTGTAGCCACAGGAAGAAATAGTGGTTCTCAATATCATTTAGTTCAACATGCAGGATTTCACAAAGTTTACAGGAGAATGGAGTTGGGGGTAGGGGGTTGAAAGGTTTTTTACTATACTTTACATCTGAAAAATTAAAGCCTTGCAATTGAGCAGATGAAAGCCTGTCTGGTTATTCTTCTAACAATGCCCTTTTCTACTCAAAGCTGAAGCTGAATTCAGCGGTGCTGAGCCCGGCTGGCTTTGGAGAAACAGATGCGGCTATTGTTCAAGATCTCTCTTAAAAGTGAATGCTTTGCTTGGGTCCTGAAAATTGTTGCCACTGTCGGGAAGGAAAAAAAAAAACATATTGTGTCAGAGGACAAGTGAATGTATTTTTTTTCTGTGATGGATGATGCTATACCATTACTAGTCCTGGACCTGTGACTATCCTGACCACTGGGTACCAGCAGATCAAAAAATGTTGTATAAGCTGACAGGTATGTGTGTAAGGCAGAAAGACAAGGGACACAGTGGATTTTACACAAGGGACATCTTTGCTTTTTCACTCTTTCCTTCTCATTTAACTGTCTGGCCTCCAACAACAGCTGGAAAAAGAAACCACAGTAGAAGCCTTCTATACATTACTCTTCAGGCCGAGAGGAGAACACAAGGCCACAGTCCCAGGGAGGTAATGCCCCTGGGGGAAGCCACTACCAGTTCATGCCCACTGGTCGATTCTGCCACCCAAAGGGCCACATCAGCACATGTCCTGGAATGTTTTCTTATGAGATATAATGATGGCACTTGAAGATGTCTTATGGCTCATCAGTACTCCTAACAGATAACAAAGCTGCCAATGTATCCTATTTGTAGAGATCATTAGGAGAAAATGATGCACCCCCGTAGCATCCTAAGAATACTTAATAAGCATTCTTTAGTTCAACGCTTTCAGATAGAAATCAGGTGGATGGTTACTACACAGAATATTTCAAAATATGTGGAACTACACAAAAGAAGCCTGCATTTAGGGGCCAGAGAGATGACTTGGTAGGTAAAGGTACCAGTCTCCAAGCCTTAGGATGTGTAGTGGACCCCCAGGATCCACATGATGGAAAGACAGAACTGACTCCTGACTCCCACAGTTGTTTTCTGACCTCCACACAAATACTGTGGCCTACACAGGCAAACACATGTGCGCACACACACACACACACACACACACACACACACACACACACACTAAGTGTGGGAAAAAATACTTTCAAAAATTACCTTGAACTAAGAATCCTGTAAACAAAGGCCAGGTAAGCTCACTTCAACCAAGATACTGAACTTTGGGAAGGAAGTCTTTGAGCAGGGTAATCTCTTGATCTCTCTCATATAATATTTCTTTACTATTTATCTGAGGGTATAATAACTTTGTGAAAGCATGTTTTGGCTCAACACTTTCAAATGTTAATCAAGGGTATGATTATGGTGGAATTTCCATATTAGGAAGGATCCCTTAAAGCTTGCTGAGGGTAAGGGATCTCTGCCAGTCTCCACAACAGCAAATGGAACTCTAATGCTGAGATGTTGGGACTAGAAGCAATAAAGAGCACTATCTGATGATTATGTTCTCCAGCTTGCAGAGACATCCTTTCCAAAGGTCAGAACTGGGACCACAAGTGATGAAGAATCCCATGTTGCTGTTAGATGCTCTTTTAGTCTAGGATTACTTATTTCAACTGGAAATTTTAATGTATGTTTTAAAAATGAATGGTCACCTTTTATTATGTAACCAAGAAAGAGTTTGAAGACATGAAATCATCATGTTCACGGCAGAGTAAATTGGCAGGAAGGAATTAGAACAAGCAAGTTTTCATTTTGCATTAAAACATCACTTGAATAGCTAACCGGGGCATAACTGCAGAGTGAAGTTTATTTAGCCCTCAGACTGTAACTCAGAGAGGAAATAAAGCTAAGTTTTCCCTGCTTTCAGTTGTGTGTTGATTCCCAACTCGCGCCCCCACCCTCATCCCCCTAGCCCCTCCTCACTCTTCCCCCCCCCCCCCCCCGCCCCCGCCTGTGGTAGATGAGTAGATCCAGCTCTCTGGGTATTAAAGTAGCAAGAACCATTTTGCAATTCAAAAGAATATTCCTTTGAGGCAGTGATTTTGAAAGCTGGGCTTTCTTTTTAATTCCATTGGCCATTAGGACAATAGGAATTAGACATGATTAGCCACTGAGTACATCTGTCGCATTGACCCACTTAGAAAGAGAGATTTGTTTTGGTGGGAGGGACTTTGTAACGTGAAATTTTCTCCTTTTATCTTTCTGTTTAAAACTATATTAATTATTCTATAGTGTTATCTAATATGTAAGTTGTACTGCTGCATAAAAAATAAAGTACAGCTTTAAAAATTTAAAAATATAGACCATCAGTTTAAGAGAAAATTACTTAACAGCTAATTTGAACCCAAATGGCCAGTGAAGTTTATTGACAGCTCAAAACACAATTTGAATCTTTTAGACTTCCAAGTGCAAAATTAGAAAGGAGAGATGGGTAATCTGTTCCAGGTGTTTAGTAAGAGGAGGTGCACACGGTTTGGTGTGTAATTATTCACTATCCATTGTTATTCTTACTGTGGCGCCCATCAACACAGCACTTCCGAGCATTACCGTGGGGCCCTGCCTGACCTGTTTGGACATTTCATATCACAGCAAATGGAAAGCCAAAAACAACAATGTCACAAGGCCCAGTGTTACCTCCCCCACTGACAGCTGAAGTGATGGGTTTATAGTCTCTGTCACCGAGGCAGAACCTGCTAACCGGCTTCCCAAATTCTTATAAGAAGTCATGACATCTTCTCCCGTTCTTCTGTTTGCCAGAAAATGATAGAAAAGGCGTGTTCCAAGACTCCTTTTTGCTTTTTATAATAGGGTGGTCTCACTGGGAGACAAGGATCAGCCCCCTCCAGGGGCTCTTAAAGGAAAGGCACTTGGACCTTGAAGTGGTCTAGCAAGCTCGCCTGGAGAAATTGTGGTGGGTAAGCCAGTTCTGTGTTCGCTTTCCTGTAACAAAGCACAAAGGGCGAATATTTTCTACACTGAAACAAACTCTTGTCTCCTAAAATCGGCTTTGGTTTTATTTTTATTGGTCAAATGGTTAACTTATAATAGCGTCTCAGAAGCTTTGAGGCATCTTGGAAGCAGGAGGGCTGTCAGAGCGGGCGTGTGTGGTCATTGAGATGTTTGGGATGGCAGCGCTTCCACTCTGGTGAATTTTTTCAAGCCCTTCATGCCACAGTTATCTCACTGAGATCATGAGTTTTGCAGATTCTCCGGTGTTTTCTTCGTGAGGCTGGCCTTTAACATACGAGATTACACCAGCTCCAGGTTGCAGGAGGCACTCTAGGCAAGTATTGGCACATGCTTTACATTTCTCAAACACCTTTACAGGACACCCAAAACAAGCCTGGGGAGCAGACAGGAGAACTTTCAGTTCTACTTTATAGGTTAATAAACTGGGGTTCAGATTTGAGATGGTCCATCAAATGCTTATTAGGTAGTTGCAGCTAACACCACACTGAAATCCTTCCTCTCCCCATTTGGGACGTCCGACTGTTAGCTTCAATTGTTTATCTTGACACGACGTGGAGTCACATGGGAAGGGAGTCTGGGAATTGTCTAGATCAGGATAGCCTGTGGGCATGTCTGTGGGGGTTTTCTTGATTACCTTCGTTGATATGGGAGGGCTCTGCTTAAAAGTGGACAGCACCATTCCCTGGTTTGGGGTCATGGATTATTTAAGGGTCGAAGAAGCAAGCTGAGCACTAAGCATTCAGGTATGTTCCTCTTTGCTCTTCCCTAGGGATGTGCAGTGACTAGCCGCCTTGACTTCTCTATAATAACTCTCTAATAACCCTCTGAAACCAGGGACTGTGGGTGAAAATGAACCCCTTCTCCCATAAGTTGCTTTTTGCCAAAGTGGATCATAGAAACCCAAATGAAACCAGGGCCGGACTTGCCTCCCTTGGGGTGAGGCAGGTAGTGCTGTTGCACAGAAACTCCTCCGATGCATAAGCTCAAAGCAAAGGATATGTTCTCATACATGCACCCCAAGACGACTCTTTAGTTCTCCCATTCTGCAACTTGAGCTATCACACCATTCACAGTCCG